TGCAGCCCAATTTCCGTCGCTGTGCTTCCAAAGTCTTGATGTACACATGCGCGTTTAAATTGCCAACTTAGTCGCAACAGGGATTCTGTGCTGCCAAGTTGGTTCTATTTAGATTTTGCAGGTGAAATGGTTGTCAGACATGTGCTGATTATTTAGTTAAATAGGCATACTCATTGCGACACTTGTCTTGTCTTGTTTCTTGCCTGAAACTTGCCTTATTCGCGGCAAGTTCTAGCCTTGAAGAAGACAAGTCTACTCGTCAAAACGTCGGCGTGAACACACAACCTGTGTTTACGAATTTTTTTCAGCGCAATATGTGTGCAACGTAGAAAGTGCGTACAGGTCTTGATTTTCCTTCCATCTTGACCGTTATTTCGTAGTGAAGAAAAAATTGGGGCAGCTACGTACTATTGGCGGCAAAATTGACGAAACAGTGGAGATGATGTCCTTATTTTTTCTTCCTCCTCAACTTTGCCACCTCCTTGATATGTTGTAGAACGCAAGACTGTGCTATGCTCTTACCCTCTCAGCTTATACCCTCATTTCCCTAAGCGTTAAATTGCGCAAACAAAAGAGACGATGACACAGACAGCGCTCTTAGCGCCTTCGTCTCTTCTTTCATTTCCTATCTTGTTTGCGCAACTCAACACTTAGTATCATAAACAAACAAACCTGACTGTCAGCCATTCCATACCAATGTGGCAGTATCGTTTCGCACCCTATACTGTCACATTGATCGTTTTGCACACGATACTGTCAAATCGGCCTCGCCGCGGTGGTCTAGTGGCTAAGGTACTCGGCTGCTGACCCGCAGGTCGCGGGATCGAATCCCGGCTGCGACGGCTGCATTTCCGATGGAGGCGGAAATGTTGTAGGCCCGTGTGCTCAGATTTGGGTGCACGTTAAAGAACCCCAGGTGGTCGAAATTTCCAGAGCCCTCCACTACGGCGTCTCTCATAATCATATGCTGGTTTTGGGACGTTAAACCCCACAAATCAATCAATACTGTCAAATCGTCAGCAAGCTTAACACGAGTGCTCCAACGTGTGACCTAAACTACTTTGACTGCACGATGCCAGCCATGACGCGCAAGGCGCTGTTTGCAGAGATGATACCTCGGCATGTTTATGTAATATCTCGGCAACAGAGCTCAAAGATACGCGACGCTAGCGTCAATCTAATTGTTTCGGAACGCGCTGAGGAGCGTTCGTTTTACAGAACACCGAACATGGCTATTTTTTGCTACACAATTTCCCCTACTTTTCATCCTCACATCACTCATCGCCCATGGTCTGCCTTTGCTGTAAACTGCTTGGCACATGTCTGCTCTCGGTGCCGCATACCCACCCGAGGTTGTGCCAACGCCACCCGGAGTTCTGCCAAGGTTACCGTTGAGACATACATTGTAACATTGTGCGTTTGTAGTCAACCACTTTTCACGTGCTCGGCAGTGCTTACTCAACGACGAAAAAGTTCTGTACTCCTATTTGACTGCGTGCACGCTACGACCAACGCTTTCAGCAGTAAATAAAGAAGAATAAAAAATAGCACATTCGGCACGGTCAAACGGGTTCGACTTCTCTCTCTACTTGTTTGTTTCGTTTGCCTCATTGGCCACAAGGTTACCACGGCACTGCGCGCAAAAGCCGTCCCGTATACGGTAGCGATATCGGCTCAGCGCGTTCGCTTTGCTTCGCTCCGCTGGTTCTCGCACTTCTCTGGCTTGCACGACTGCATAGTAGCGAAGAGAGCCGACAGCGCGTGTTAACCGACGCCGCTGAGGGGGGGATAAGCGGTGCATTTCGCGCGAGGCGCCAAACAGTGCGTGCGTCCAGAGGTCGTGATCGCTGCATCCCCTTTCCCCATATTTTCCTGTCTACAGGGGCGAAGGCGTATTACGACGGCGCACATAGCGTTTGGGGCCCTCGGCAGCGGGCTCAGTTCGTGTCGTACGTGCGTTAGCGAATGCTCGCACGTTCTGGACGCTTTTACGTTCGTTCGTTCCGTTGTTTCTCCCGTGTGCGCGTGTGCGCTGTTTTGTGTTTCGTTAGTTCGCCGCGGTAAGCGTGCGTTCGTGCACGCTTAAAGGCTGCCGTCCAGTAGGCGAAACGCTCACGGGAGCCGGCCATTGCACTCTTCACCCCCCCTCTTCCAAACATACCCCTCCAAACCTGCGCCTCTTGAGTGCCGATCGTGATGGCGCCAGACAATCACGAGAGTAATGAAACGTCGCGTAACAGGTCGTTTCGGTTGCGGCGCACACTGTTCGGTAGCTAGCGCGAATAAAAACAAAGGAAAACAAGACTGCTCGGGAAAGGGGCTTCTTTTTTTCACTCGTTCTCGAGTTCGCCGCTGGCACATACCGTGCGTGCGCGGCGTGGTTTCGGGCATTCGCTTCAGAGTGCACGCTGGTTCGTCCATTAGTTACACCAGCGCCGCATCGTTAATTTGCCACCTTTACGTCGTGCTGCAAACAGGCACGGCAGAGGCAGCGTAGCAAAACTGTTTGGACACGATAATGATAAACCGCGTGTGTATTGCCGAGGTGGTCTTGGCACTCAGCGGTCCATACGAGCCGGAAGTTTGGTGTCACCTTCTCCGTGCGTGTGCAGCGGTGGGTCTGTGACGCGCGTTTAAACTAAACTGGTGCGCCACGTAGCGAGAGCACGGGAACAGGAGTGAAACGTGACTACTTAGTTTGCCTTCACCGCTGGGCCTGCTCGAGCTGCGTGGTTATACATAATGGCGTGGGACGTCTCGCTGGACTTTCTTGTTTGGGACGTTAAGTTTCACGCAGACTAAGTAAAACTCCACTGAATAATTTTTATAGGCACCGTAAGTGATAAACGTGTAAGCCGGGAAACGCAAAAGAGCCCTGGCAAACAGCAGAAACGAAAAATATATATATATATTAAGCAGTTTCGTCCTATAGTGGTATCAAGCCTGACGGAAGTGCTGCGCTGGCTAAAACATCTTTGTTTTTCTTCGTTTTTCTCTTTCTTTCCGCCTCTTTTTCCTTTTATGTTTTCCTGTTTTACTGCCTTTTCTATCTGCTTATTTCTACTCATTTCTATTTGTCTTTACGATTTTGTTTCTGTCGTGAACTTACAGCGCAACACCAGAAAAAATACAGGACAGGGAAGGAGTAAAAGAGAAAGAAAAGACGGCGCTGTCTTTCTGTCTCTGTCTTTCTAGTTCTCGCTTGCTTCCTCTTTTCCTCATCTTTTACTGACGACAGCGTAAAACATAGCTGTATAAAGCCCCTAAAGTGTTGCCCACATATCACGATCAAGGCGCTCCCTGAACAGAAAAAAAAAAGAAGGCATCTCTATGGCGCGAGTGAGCGTCCACTATGCGGCACATGGCTGTGCTATTTGTGATTTTTCCGGCGTTACCCCAAGTGACGACGACAGCGTATGACAGCCTGGGGCCCCTACAAGATATTTAATAGATCTAAAGATACAAGATATTCAATAGTACAGGACGTCATTTGAATGCTCGGAAAAATAGCGCGAAGTTGTCTCATGTGTTTACTCATGCCCGAGCAGCGCAAAAACCTGCATACAACAGCCGACCACCGGCTAGCTGCATGGCCGGCTCTATATTGCTGCACTCAGAGCCCTGCGGAAAGTTTGTGCCTCACTGGGCTGCATCTTCGTCTGTTGTTTATTTTATTGCCGCTGCCAGCTTCACGCTTGCGAATGCTTCGCACTTCCTGTTGCCTGTGTAACACTTACAAGCACTACAAACCAGCAGTGATCTTATACGGTTAGTATAAGCAAGAAGGTCGGAGGTTTGGTTCCCCGTTGCGAAGATCAGATCATCTTGCAGGTGAATGGTATATATATCCTTGATATTGTAATATTACATCCATTATTTCTTTGTTCTTGTGCCGAAGACGAGGTGTTTCTGGTGGCAAGGTTGCCTTACAGTAAAGGCACTTTTTAAAATATCCATGCGAAGAATTGCCTTGTCAATTATGTACCATGCAGATATAGCCCAATCTCGTACGTTCTCTTTAGTATATTGCTATCGCACTAAAGCAAGTTTTGAGAATAGCGCCGTTACTTTTTGATGCAACGAAGTTCTATTGGTCTAATGCGTGGTGTTCATTACGCTGTCCAGCTAAAATGCGATATCATAAGCTTTCCGTAACGAGCTTCCGCTGGATCGGACTATAAGGTTCTTTTGTCTGGCGGAATGAGAGTCCTGGTTCGAGCGAAGCGCGCAGCTTGACACATGAGCACGCAGCATTGAAGAAGCTGTGGCAGGATAGCCAGCGGCAGTGTGAGTTACTTCAACACATGTTATTTTAGTTGCACTTTCAGTAGCCTGCATGCATATATTGCCGTGTGGTCGTTATGGTGAAGAAGGTGGCAGTCGGACTGTTTTCAATGAAACTCTTATTGAAAGAAATGGGCCCAGTAAAGGAAAAGTAAAAGTACAGGAAACTCACGCTGTGCAGTCGTCACCAAGCTTAACTGAAACGCTCCACAGTGTGTCCGGGAATGGTTTGATTGAAACCAGTGTCGCATACCTTTGGATTCTGCTTCCGAGGTACTGCAGGTGCATGCGGACATACTGTATCCAAGCTTACCGATGTATTATGTCGTCAACAACGTCCAACGCTTGATGCATGGCTGTCATCAGCCGAACCAGTCCAGGCCATACTGTGGGGCGAGCGGTTTAGGCTCGCTGACGGCTGTATGTGGTAGCGACGATAACAGTGTCCTCCGCGTAATCTATAGCAGAAGAGCCTAAAATAATTGCGAAGTTTCTAATTACTGTGGAGTGGTCTGCGACGAGCAGTGGTAGCAGTTCTCGTTGGTAAAACTCAATCACATAAAAAAAAAAATAAGTGCGCATGGAAATATTGTCACCTCCCCAGTCTTGCTTCTGTTCAGATCCATTACGCATTTCCTTGAATGCTTTGTATGACCATGTCGAAATTATTAAAACGCTGAACTATAATCTACTCACCTTTGTCTTTTTGCTTGCAGGAAGGCTGGCGGTGACGATGGAACAGGAGCCGCGGTCGTCCAATCACGGTCAGTCCTCTTTTGTTTATTTATCTTGCAGGTGACGAATGTCAAACACGGACGCCACTTGCTGAAAAGAAGTTTTGCGAATGCTGACTTTGTATTCGTATGATCAAATGAGGTTGTTTCACACGCAGGGGCTATCATGTGTTGATCGACTGCACCAATCACACCACACTTAAACATTGACTTGATCAAAAACTTAACTTGGTGGACCCAGGGCGAATACTATGCCCGTGGCCATCACGGATGAATAAAAAACAATAAAATGCTGTGATGTTGTTGTTTGTCAAGACAGTAACACTTGTGATCACTATTGAGCGAATTGATTGAAAGAGGGCACTGCGACCGTATGCGTGCTCTGCTAAAACGAGAACTTTGGAACTTGCCAAATGCACAATGTATGTGCATATATGCTCTTTTTGTTACATTTTTTTTATTTTCATTAGGAAAAACCAAGTGAAAAGACGTAGCCGTCACCTATAAAGAACAGCTTATATTTATATATGTTTACTTATACGAGAAACGGGCATCGTCTTGTTTTTTTTTTAATTAAAATAACTGTTGTATTTTATGCCAGTTTTAGTTCTCGTCTTGCTCAAACTTATTTGCGCTGATATTAATTTCGAACAGCGTTGCCTTATACGACAGAATTTCAGATGAAGGTGGAAGGTTTAATTGGTGAGTTCTTGAACTGAGAATTCCAAATTAGAGGACTCCCAGAATGTTCCATTATCATCCTTGTTGAACGAGTTCGCATTGTTGTTGTCTAGATGTATAGTGCAATGAAGTTACATTAATTAAATTCTTGCTGTAATTACGAATGCGATAAATTACTTTTGTGTCCTTGTATTATTGGAAAAAATTGCTCGAACGAATAAATTTTATGAAAAATTATTCATCAAATTCTCAATTACCTTTGACTTAAATACAATGAGTCTGCTTCCTTTGTAGCATAGATTAAAAGAAAAAAAAGACTAAGCATTAAAAGAAACAAATTAGAAACGCAAGTTAGTATGAGTGCCATACCTCAATCATGGAAGCTTAACAAAGAATTCTGGTATTTCTGTGTTTGTAACTGAAGTGTCAATGAGCTATGATTGAGTGACGAGCTTTTCCTAGAGTAAATTCAAGGCAATTTAGTTACTTTTAGAAAGTCATAATAATGCCTTGTAAATGCTATTGGTCAGCTTTAATTAAGGTAATCACATTTATGAAAATAGAAAATGTTTAAGCAGCGTAATTTAATTTCATATTATGTCCACATCTGCCATCTGTGATAGTATATATGACGCTCATGCGGGCCCTCACACAATCCGCTCATTGTAGTGTGTGTACGCTCCGCTATCTTTCCATCACGAAGTCACGTCTTCGATTCCTGGTCGCGTTGCCGTAGAGAACAATACGCAAGGAATGTCGTTATTGTTGAACTCTTGTGCAACTGTATTGCTGTTTTCTTTCACTTTCAAGAGGCCATAATGTCGCAGGGGCGTAGGCAGATTTTTGTTTGGGGGGAGGGGTGGGTGCACCGCCTTGGTCTGGGGGTGAGGCCAGGCACACAGATTTAGTGGAGTGTCGCTTTGTGCTCCGTATGCCATGGCAAAACTAAAGGAGAGAGGGGGAAGGGCATGGGCCTGGTGTGCTACCCCTCGGCTGCGCCACTGCGCTGTGGTCCATAGCCGGCCCTTATGACAAGAAATACTCTCCCGTGCACATGTAATCTGCAAGTGGACTATGTCAACTGTGAATAAGAAACACTAACCTATTCTCAAAATGTTAAGGACCAATTAGCTAGAATTGTATACGCAACAATGATCATAGTCATTGTTGAACATATATATGTTCTTCATGTTGGTACTTGCACTCGTTTGGCAAAGTATCGCCTAACTACACCGTACGTACTGATATTGGTGTGTTGTTTTGTTAGGCTACTGTATTACAATCTTCTAATATATTACCGCCCAACTGATGTACAATTTTTTTGTTTACCACCCCCTCCGTAATTCCCTGAGTCTTTGAGGGTACAATAAATCTGAGAAATCGATTCATTCGATTAGCAGAGGGATTGAAATCCTGTTACAATCTTGCCATCCTTCGTCCTTCCTTTTCCTGTTCTCGTCCAAGCTTCTTTCGCGCAGCGCCTTGCTTAACGTAGAACCATTTATCATTGCTGAATAAGTTTCGTGTTACCCTTGTCCACCCGTTCAAGGTATCGAACGGCCAGACGGGCCGCTCGGTGTCTCCGTGTCGCCAGGCTACGTTTCGGATAGCCGAGAACTTCAACGAAGAAAATAGAAAGCGAGGAATGACGGCGAGGAAAAAAAAACAGAAATGGGGACAAAATAAGCGTTTTGCGCGACCTTGGTGCGGTACCCTCTCGTCGTCGTCGTTCTTTTTTTCCTTGACCCTGGCAGTGGATTGCGAGCAGCACTGCCGCCGACGAGGAGCAGGCGAGATGAAGGCCAGGGATTGCGAAACTCGACGAGATTGCATCACGGACGCTCGCACCGTGCCGGCCTCGCCTCGCGCTGTCTTTCGACAGCACAAATGTGCCGGTCATGTATATGGCTATTTTACCTATCTGTTTCGGTCCCACCATACTGAGATGTTAACCTGGACATCTTTTATGTCGTTAACACTTAAACTAATATTGCGACAGTTAACGCACTCGCATGAAGACGTTTGTGTTGGAGCATTCGACGTTTCACTACATTATCAATGCACGTCACGGTATGCGAAAATGCGAGAACATTCGTTTAGCAGATCAAGGCAGCAGCAACCATGTCTAACGTTAAATTGTCTGTATGCGTACGTGCTCTTGTCTTAGTGCGCGTTAACCTAATGGTCGCGGCTACATGGTGCACCCTTAAATGAGCAAACTGTTTGCTTATAAGTTATCTATTGCAAATACCCACAGTGCCCGAGTAGAGTATTATGGCAAGGGATTCATTACAGATGTAAACTTGAGAAACGGAGCGTCACAAACAGCAGCATCCAACTTCCTTATTGCGAATGCACAAACATCACCATAAAAGAGCAGGAGAACGCATTCGATACTAAGGAATAAAACATCTCATTACACAATTATTATTATTATTATTATTATTATTATTATTATTATTATTGTTGTTGTTGTTGTTGTTTTTGTTGTTGATGTTGTTGTTGTTGTTGCTTTCTAATTATCGCTGTATTTCTTTACTTCGTGCCACATCAAACATCTTTGAGCTGGCTCTTCACAACTATTCCATGTTATAACGTGAATAATTTATTAATCAACATGGCTTTCTCCCTGGCTGCTCAACTACCACAAATCTTGCTAGTCTCATGACGCCAATCTCCCCGGCTATTTCTCAGAAAAGACAGGTTGACGTAGTCTACTGTGACCTAAGCAGTTGCTTTTGACGTAGTCAGCCACCTACTGTTTTTGTTTAAACTTGTAAACTTTATGTTGACTCATCTGTTGTAAATCTCCTGTACAGCTATCTGCTTTAGTAGATTATGTTATGTTACCGTCAATCGCCGAACATCTTCCTTGTACAAAGTGACTAGTCAAGTCTCTCAAACGTCAGTATTAGACGCACTCTTATTTTTAATTAAAATTAACGATGTTTCTTTTGCTATTCATTATTCTTCTTTTCTCTTGTATGCTGATGACATCAAGATATTTAAGGCAATTCATTCAGTTACCTACTGTCGCTTTCTGCAGTCAGATTTGTGCTTTTTCTCCGAATGACGCGATAACAATAACTTCTGTCTGAATACCTCTAAAACCAAATTCATGAGCATATCTCGCAAAACATCCCTCGTGCTATTTCCGTACTCTGCCAATACCATGTCCTTAATTAAAGTTTATGAATTCAATGATCTTGGTGTTCTTTTTTTAAAGCATGCTAATTTTTTCTGCTCACACTAAATGTGCTGCCAAGCATGGCCTTCGTTCTCTCGGCTGCGTCTGTAGAATCTCTCGAGTAGAATCTCTCGAGAATTCATTTCTGCAGCATTCCACAAGTTGTACACCGCAATATGTTAAACTTGAATATGCATCTGTGATTTATAATGCCATTGCTAAATCTGGCAGTGACACCATTGAGCTAGTCCTGTAAAAAAATCATAAACTTTTACAATCATCCTATCGCTACAGATGACTCTGGATCTCGTTCCAACACTGCCATATTATTATCATTGCCATCACTTCACTGCCGACGAAATCGCGCGGACTTGTTTATTTCTTTACAAATTAGTTTACGATATGCTACCCTGCCCTTTACTTCTCAGTCGTGTAAATTTTCGAATTCCGCGTAACTTGACCAAATGTAATCGACCATTCCATGTACAAGCCAACTTTTTACAACACCTTACTATTCTAACAGAATAGAAAGTTGGGCGAGTTGGTGTATATTCATATTAAAAGAAAAGCGGCGCACAAAAAGACGGAGACAAAGAAGAGAACCACACACAGCGCTGCACTCACAACTGAAAGTTTAATCCGAGCAACAAGAATTTACAAAGTAAAAGCCGCGCATGACAAGTGAGGTACAACGAGATTAAATGATACGCTCATCAATAAAAGTGAACTCTTTTTTGTGCAATGTAACCGAGGTCTGGCTTACGCAAGCATCACGTGACTTGTTAATATGATAGGCTTCAGACACCTCACGGGTGAATTGATCGTGGTGCTTAAAAATAATAACAGTGTTAGACAGATCAGGTGTGCACCCACACGTGGCACAATGCGAAGCCAAATGGGAAGGCGTGCCGTTATGCAAAGAGAGATAGTGCTCCCGCAACCTTTTATTAACACAGCGGCCCGTCTGTCCCACATAATGAAGACCACAAGATAAAGGAATGCGGTACACCACCCCCACAGCACAAGGCACATACTTATTTCTATGGTTTACGGCACATTTCTTTACATCTGGATTGTCCTTCTTGTCTAGCTGATTTGACACCAATGCACATATCTTTCCCAATTTATTGGGTGCCCTAAAAACCACATCAACTCCGTAGCG